TGAAACTCTTTATATCCAATATCAATCCTACTTAAATGCTAATGTTCAGGAAACATATATTAGACATTTACAATGTGATCCTCGAATACAAACGAATTGTAATATATTACAGTCCCTAATGCAATGCATTTCAGTAAACGTTGTTTTATCATTTGATTGCAGTGTTTTCTGTCCTAAATCACAAAAACTTGAAGTGCGTGATGCGCAAAGACGGCGTTTGTCACCCCGATCAACCGAATTTCCAATTTACAGTACAAACACTCGCCGTTAAGTGTAATTAGCACGCGTCATAAAAGACAGCTGTTCCGACGCAATTAGCATTGCTTATTTTGAGTCATAAATACTTCACCTATCCTCAAATATTAGCCCAAAACTTGCCACAAAAAATAAAATAAATAAATAAAAATCTCCTTTTTGTGTTTTTGAAATTTAATTTTATTCATTTATAATAATTTACAATAATGCTCGTGAAGACCGAAGGGCGTGCATCTAATTTTGTGTAGCGATTTACATTCAGCCACAGGGAGTATGGGATGAATTTACGAACGGGTTGAAATCAAACATAATTGTTACATTTCTTTTCGCTGCCCTGTACCGAACCTGACAAAAAACACACACATTTTTTTTATTTTTTTTCATTCCGTGTCTGTGGGTTAACTTTTTTCAATAAAAATTTACATAAAAAATAGTTTTTTTTTCGAATAATTAATAACGTCATGTCTGGGGAATGAGTGTGAGGAAGGAGGAGCAAGAAACACAGTGCCACATTTGCAAACGATAGAATGTCACTCGCACACACACAACACCTACCCTCGCGGTCGCACCAACGAGTCGATTTATGTGCGCGCAAGTCGTAATCTTGGATTTGGTGTGTACAGCTCAGATTTATGGTTCCAATTAATTGATTATGACAGTTGTGCTCGTTTATTTCATTTTTCTGCTTCATTCCTACCCCTTCCCAGCTCACACTCTTTGGGGGTGGGGAGTTGTAGTGATCGTGTTCACTCGAGGGGTTTGTTTCCTGCCTGGCTGGTTGGACGTCTGTTTCGTTAGATACTTTTGGTGTCACCGTCATCAGCGACATAAACATTGCAAGCAAGTCCTTGCTAGATGTCAAAACTTCTGGAAGAGACGAACAAACGATTCCACTAACGAAAGTACTGTAAATAAACCAGTTCCAGTGTGATTTCAGAAGTGGCCTTGCTACCTCCATCATGGTCATTAATGTGCCGTAAAACGGTGTTGTCAAGGGAAGTGGCACGAGTCCACAGCGAAAGTTCCTTTTATGAAATAAATCACGCTAAAGCATAAACCCGTTTGCGTCGCTTTTGAGGATGTAAATTTCAGTTAAAAGTGCCAGGCGAATGATTTATGAGTCCATGTTAAGCCAAGTTCGTATTACACCGCTGATATCAGGTGATTACTATTGTACAACTATTTCCCGTCCGGTGTATAAGCAGCCGCGCGTCGATTATTTGCCATGTTCGGACCTATCTAGGGGTCATCACTTATTATTACAATTTTCAATGAAAATTGGATGAATATCAAATCCGATCATGTCATACCCCATATATACGAATTTGTCTACTGCATATGAGGATTTCTATGGTTTCGGTCCATTTTTATACCATACGCCACACTGTGGTACAGGGTATTATGTCTTTGTGCGTTTGTTTGTAAGGTGCATAAGGATGATCTTCATAGAATCACATCCTGAATCGATTTATGCATGTCCGTCCGTCTGTTCATGGAAACGAGCAACCCAAAAAGAAGCATCCAAACCATTAAGCGAATTAGTATTCATAGCCCGAAATATCAACGAATTTGAATTTAAATAGGATAAGAAACAACCTTAAGATTGGATAAGTTCGAAATGAATAGGACAATAATAAGTAAGTCGCTTTTGCCGTCAGATGTATAATCCTAGCCTTGACAATTGATTATTCAAAGTGGTACCAGAAGAAATGGTGCGATCCCTACCATCATTATAACATATCTTGTATTGATGGAAATATTTAATGTATCAAGTCTGAATGAAATCGGACATTATTTTTCCGTTTTATGACCAGAAGGAGTTGACCGATATATTTCATCTTAACACTAGACCGTGGATTAATAAAAATATTGTGATGTGTGTAATTTGAAGATAATAAGAGTTATAATTATTCCAAATTTTGTCCGTTTGTGAGGGAGGTACTTGATGGAGTTGCCGGATTATCCTTTCTCCTTCCACGCTAGATCGACTTCAAATGTCCTGAAACGGATTTGTTTCAAAGAGACCTAGGGTCTAAAACCATTATTTCGATTAGTCACGTTTTGGCCGTATCAAACTATATATACCCTTTGTAGCCATATGGCTGAATGTATAAAATTACATAACTCGCATCATTCTAAACGTGGGACTCCAAACACTCGTCGGATACACAATAAAAAAAAACATTAAAGTCAAAACAAAAAAAAAAAAAAACTTTAAATGTTAAGAAATTCCGAGTATAATTAAACACCTATGTTTATAATGGCTTGAAGAGAATTATCATGGTACAATAAGGAGGTAGAACAGCTTCATAAAACTACAGAAATACAGCCCTGAGGCTATGCCCGCCTTCTGCCAGACTTATTCAAAATTTTATGAAACAAATTCTTTTCATTTTTTTCATACTTTCCCTCATATTTTAATGAAACCAATAGCGCGAAAAATGAATGAAATGTTTGAATTTTTTTTTTCAAAAATATGATCCAAACTGTTCCATCTTTCAATTTCACGGATAAACTGGTTAATAGCTTTAATACGTGAGCCGCGATGTACGTGTCTTCCATTCATTGGTTTTGAAAATATTTTGTTTTAATTTTTCAAAACAATAATTATTAGCAGAAGTCGGGCACACTTAGAAAAAAATTGTAATCAGCTGATATCTCTACCTTACCTTTTTATTGTACCATGCGAATTATATACTTTTTCGAACACTGTCATTATAACTTTTCAGGGTAAGAAAATGTGAAATTGCAATGATTCGAGACTACTCCTCAATTCTTGTAGAAAATTCCAGAGGAATTTCAAAGATAAGCATCCACTCTTTGGACGGCGGTGAGTTCCATCAAAATGTCTAAACGAGTTGTGGCTTCCAGAAAACGACAAAAAGTTCGGCCATTAAGACCTCATTTTCTTAGTCTTATCTTCGCTATTCTGAGCATAGCATTTACGTAGCTTATACCCTGCAAAGGGGAAATGCTCTTCAAACATGACTAGGTAAGTGGTACCATCACCCGGCCCCTTAGTCACATTGAGAGATCTGTGTAATATTATTTCCCCTCAAATCTATAACATTTTTATTTTGCTTACGTATCTATGTTAGTGGTAAGCCACTGTTCATTTTCCAAGTTTTCCACAAATACGCATGCGCAATACCAACCGGCAGCACAACGAATTAATATTCGCATTTCGAAATTAATAAATTAAAATAATGGCAGAAACGCTGGCAATTGTAACGCTATGCCGCTGCTGCATTACTGTAAATTTTTGCAACTGAATACCGTAAGTGAAGGTCGCTCAATTCACGTGTGATACCGATTTTGGTGGCTATATTGGGCAGCTTCTGAAATAGTGTTGGCTTGTCTGTTTTTTCTCAAGACAGGCGAGATAGCGTTCATATGCATGCCAATCGCGTTGCCGACATTACGTGGCTGTTGTAGTTTGGTTGATTTTGGTTGTTTTCCATGCACAATTGTTTCACTTTTTTGCCGCCAGCTATGAAGAGATTCCTTGACAAATAGTTTCGGCCCCCTTTGCCGCAATAAATTGGTTTCACATGAGAATTTGCAGTTTTGGTCGGGCACAGTTAGTATTTAATCTGATTTCACTAAAGCGTTAATGCGCTTAGATAGCGGCCGATTTCAGCTGTCACCGACAATTTAGAATCAATCAAAATTCAACTAAGCGAAGTATTTTAGCGGAAAATTGACAAATTAAATCGGCAACTCTGCAAAAGGAACAAAGGACTAATCGGAGGGGTTTTGCTTTCCCTTTTGGGTGAAAAAATGTACAATTCGAACGAAAAATCTTTTGTTAATGTATTGGGGTGGTTTTGAAGTGGTTGTTTTCGGTCTGCTCGTTGCATTGGGCGCTACAGTAGTTCAAATCTTCGAATGGTTACCCTCAAACAGCAAAAGAATTATTTTATGTCTAAATAATAATAGGCATCGGTGCCAGTACAGTGGAATGCCATGGGCATACATAAATGTTTACCTCATCGATAAGTCATACGTTATACAACTGGCCACAAACAATACAACTGGTAGTACATCATTATAAAATGGAATTTTAAACATTGACAATAAATAAAAGCTATTGAGCCAATTAAAGAGCATGAAATTATTTCCGGAGTCATCTTAATTCAGATTAAGTCTAGAAAAGTGAAGTTGTGCAAAGAGTTGGTACACAAAGTTGTATTGTTTGTGGCCGAAGTATAATTTTTGAGGCATATCGTCCATTTAAAGATAACGATTACAAAATAAGATATTTTTATTGTCAACATCAAACAGGTTCTCGATGAGGGGAATGACTTTTGAGGTACTCGTGGAAGTATCACAAGTTGTTAGGTGGATCTGCCCATTCTACTGCATTGACATGGTTTTGTAATAACAAATGCCAGACTGATTGAGTCTACCGTGTTTCGAATTATGAAAACCTACCCTACACAGATGGTGGATTTTCACGTCAATTGAGTTGGGGCTCATAATATTGGTATATACGCAAGAGGGCTTTTGGATAGAAACCTACTCTAAAAATCCAAGTTTTCTGTTAAAGGACAAACGTCTCACATAGCTCATCAACATCCAGTTGTCGATTTACTTTCCTCTATTACTTAGGTGGCTTTGTAGGTATAAAGAAAGTAGTAAACATGTCATGAAGTAGTTCCAATGACAATGCCCAATCACAATGATCCGCCTACATATTATTCCTTAGTGTTTGCACACAGCAATTAAAGCTAAACAAAGGCGAATTCAAACCACGGTATGAACATGTTTATTAGCAATCAATCAAGTGAAGTCCTACCAGGAGGTCCTTTCGACAACTATTTACACTTTGACTTTTCGTTTGATGGTGGTTCTGATCGTTCTTTTGTCAGATCGGGTTGAATTAATGGCCACAGACGTTGTGAATGGGTTGGGAAGAATGGTTGTTCCTCGACTCCGCGCTGTTGTGGTACGGTCCTTGTAGACGCACATCAACTCGTCAAATCCATCGGGACAATCGTTTATCTGGAAGGAAAAATAGACATCGAATTATAGATTTCGGGATTGGATAGGAGTGATGGTTCATTACTTCATCTTTTCAACGACATATATTTATGGAAAGAATAGTTTTTGAGACGAAACTATGAAAGGTTCTTCCTAAAAGCCTGCTTCCTTAGAAATTCAAACACAAGATATTGTAATGCAACGGGCTGGGCAGTTAATGTCCCATTATGCCATTACCCTCATTTAATTTGGTTATTCGAGTCAAAAGTATACATCATATTTCTTGCAAAACGTTTTACGCTTTGTTGGTCTCCATGAAATTGAATATATTTGAAGGGGAAGCGTTTGATCCGGCCGAACCAATAATCTAAGCAAATAATGGAAAAATAACCAAATTATTTTCGAAGTCGATTAACGTTGATCGAAAATTATCTGTTGGAAAGGGAAACGAACAAAGATGGTTTTACTAACCATTTAGACCCCTTAAAAGAACAAAGGGACCGTCTACGATCAGCACTTCGAAACAAACATGTTTTTGGTTTATGCCCTGGGAAGCTTATACCGAGAAAAGGTTAAAGAAAACCAGGAGGACTTGTGGAGATCGCAGCCGACACTGCGATGAAGACGGAAATTTTGCTTATTGTTAGTAAACATTATCGACAAACGAACAAGCTTTTTCCTCTAAAGCGCTCATCTGCAGACAACGTACGATATTTTAAAATGTATGTCTTCAAATAGGCCCATTTATTCTTCTGCTAATACTCGTATTAGCTAATCTAATGCATTACACTTTTCAGATCTGCCGATCAGCCGGTCTCGTGCTCTTCGAATGTGGGCTTGCAAAATTTGAAGCACTGCAATCTATTTTTGACATTTTTGGGCAAAGTATTCCTCTCAGAGGGAATCTCACTTTTAATACTAAAAAGGTATGGGAAAATATATAGTTTTGTGTATAGTTGTGCCTGTGGCTGACCCGGTGTATGACTTACCCTATCACAGAGTTGATTCACCGTTATGCACTTCCCACTCACGCAACGAAGTTCGTGGGGTGCGCAAACTGCTGCAACTACCTTTTCTTGCGGCGGTTCGGTACTGACCGCTACCAGAATCGAAGCTGCTGGCTGTAAAGGTGTCGTGCCCGTTGAACGGTTTCCGCGTGTGGCTGATATTTCAAAGTTGTTTTCGGAATCACTGGTCATCATGATTTCTTTGCTATCGCGAAAATTGGCTATGGGCGAACATTTGAAGGAACTAGTGAACTCTAATACCGTGTTCATACTCACCAAAACCCTTCAGTCTCTCCGATGGAACAGCATTCGTGACATCTTCTTTCGATACCCCAAGAGAACGATTGTTCGCAACCTGCCATTGAAGCGGGTTGGGTGTATTCAGATCTTCTGTCGTGGTTGTTATGTACGTGTACAGACTGTCGCTGGTCTGATTGGGCAGGAAAATGGCGGCATAGGAAAATAGTCGAGGGAAAGCATTGATATCGTCCGCGTCGAATCGAGAATCGTCTTCATTGTCCTGGGAACTACAATTTTCCTCGTCGGAACCATCGAAACAGTCGTACTTCATATCACAGCGCGATTCATCAGGCACACATTTTTCATTAGAGCGACAACGGAATTCGTCTGGCTGGTCGCATGTCAGACAGCTGTCCTCGTCCTCGCCAGCCGGGCAGTCTTTTATGTTGTCGCACTGCCATTGCCTGGGAATGCAAGAGCTGTCATAACATTCGAATTCGTTGTCATAGCAATAACCCTTCCTCCGGGTCGGATCGTCGCAACGTTGAGGGTCGCTCGAATCTGGGTACAGACTGCAATCGAATGTTTCCGTCAGTGAATCTGAGTTTGCAATTATTTCGGAGCAGGCTTCGCGAATTGCTAAATGAAATGATGGAAATGAAATTGTACCAGATTAAGACTTAGTGTGACATCCTGAGCACTGGAGGTCTAGACGTTAGTTCGAGGTTGGCTTTTCCATTTTTTAATTCAAATCTTACCTTTGCATATCCTCCTGCAGGGTGGAAGAATACCAATATGGCTGGGTCTGCATTCGGGCTCGAAAACGGCGCAAATGAACTCAGCCGATCGGGCGGAACAATTCGAGTTTACCATCAACTGGTAGTCCTTGAGGTCCGTGGGCGTGATGTGTGCTGAAATGTTATAGGTCAAGTCGTATTCCAGGACACCCTGACACATTGCCAGTGAAGTTGAGTAGCAGCGGCTATCCTGCGTGTTTGTCGGCTTGCTGCTAGCCGACATCATTGGAGCGGTGGGTTTGTTATGTGTCACTGGAGGGATTGTGGGAGATACTTTGGCAATGGAATCAACAGTGGCAGTTGTAGTCGGGGATGGGGCATGCCCGGGGAAAAGCTGTAAATATAGATGACGGAAAATATCAATAGATAAATACAATGCGGATCAGCTGCTGAACATGCTTACTCCATCGATTAGCCGGAGAATCCGCTCGTCCTCCTCAATGGGAACGCCAAAACTATTTTGGTGGCCAGATGTAAAACGGAAGACATTTGCAGGCACAAAAGCCGCCGCTTCCGAAATCATCGTTGTGGTTTCGTCAGCGATTGTCGTAGAATCTTGAGGGGAGTCTTTGCGTTGTTTATCCCATGCGTTGGCCGCCTTGGAGTGTCCGTACTCAACGGTTGACAACTTCTGTTCTCTAGGTCTTTGGCGAGATCTCGAGCTCAGTGTGCGCAACAGCGTAGACTCTCTAATCACTTGAGCACTTTCCGTTACTGCCGCCCGCACCGTGCTGCCTTCCGTGGGCTGTGTATTTGCTACTCCATTTGATTGCATCGCATCATCGTCGTAGCTCTGTTTCTTCTGCTGCAAATACCGCTCCCTGGCCACACTGATGTCATGTAGCCAAATGCTGTAGGTTATCAAACCGAAGAATACCAACACACTGGCTGCAAATATCAAAGGCCATCGCAAGTACTGCCATTTGCAGAGTCGCTTTCCAAACTGAAGAGTCATCAAAGATGTCTTGGCTGCCGCTTCTGGCGAGTCTAGGTAGTAATTGCCGGTGAGGGGGTATTTGTGGCGGCGCACCTGTAATTCGGCCAGATTCTCGACGGGTCTGTTAAACATGCCTCCCATCTGGCACTTGTGTGTCTGTTGTTGCTGCTGCGCCTTACTCCCATCCAAATGACATTTTCCGTCTACTTTGCCATCCCAACTTGAGCTTCGCAACGTAGACGCGCGCGAATAATCTGCAGAACGATGATTATGGTGATGTGCCCCATCGCTGATGGGCTGCACACAAACGGCCACCCCGTGTGGATATTTGGTGGGTTGGCGTCGTAGACCCAACGAACGGCCGCTCAGTAGGTTGATCTCGTGCTGTTGCTGTGCAGCATGCGTGGTCATGCATTGATTGACTTTGTTGCCTGTTGCCACTGCCGCCTGTGAGCCGATGCAATTGCCGCTGTCCGCTTCGGTGAGATTTCCTCTCTCCATTCGTTATGACCAAGCGATGCTGGACGTGCTTGTCGGGTACTCTACCAGCTGCCTCTGTATCGCTGGAATATCAGTGTGGTATATGTTGTCGCCAGATAGCTCAAGCAATTTTTGGTTTAAGTGGATTGCTGTATTGGCTGTGGTAAAGTGCCTGGATTGATTACATAAGCGTCATCTGTTGCTGCTGCAGCTTTTTGTCTAAGATCTGAGCTGTGGACCGTTTGGTCTTTCTGCTGGATTTCTTTCTTTTTTTTTTTTGCACGAATGGAGTTTTCTTGTTACCAATGGTCGGAGTTGGCTTTTTGAGTGTCTGCTTCGTTTCTGTTTCTGTTTTTCTTTTTCGGATGTTGATATTTTGGCCTTTAATGTCAGATTCCCAGGCTTGGGTTTATTTGTAGGCTTGTTTTAAACAGAAATTCGCTGTATTGCCGCTCGTGGTTTGAGTAAAATATTTGCTGCTTCGTTTGTGATCACTATTTTAATGAAGACCCAAGAAGAACACCTCTTCTTAATTTGTTGAAATTAGTCTCTGTCTCTGTCCTAGAAAATATCAACATTTGAAGCATAAACGCATTCAGCACTCGATGTGTCACAGTTTTCCTTTTCAAGTTTATTCACAATTAATACTCTGTACTAAATATCGTGTGATACATCATTTATTTCGCCACATGGTATGCCAAGTGAGTCGAAGCAATAATTGGCTAAGTTGAGTTGAGTTATGTCAACCAATGCAAGCCTAAAATCAACGCACAATGCTGAAGCATGGCGTGGAGTAAGGTTCTGTAAAATTACTTGAGAAGTGACTTCTTCAAATGAGTTATGACACTCTCCAAGAAAATGAGGAGTTAACAGCATCAGGTTGGTGCACAGATGTTCGCAAATGCCTGAGCAAGATGTGACTAATAGTTCGGCAACAGAAGCCATTGACAACGCATCAATGGAAACCCAAATAGGCTCTTGTCTTCACACGACCAACAGCAGCCACAATGGTCGTTGTGAAACTGAAGCGGTTTAACCCCCCACTCCGATTTAATCATCTTGCCACTTGCACTTTAAAAGCAATAATCAAACGCCACATGAAAACAAAACAAACCGAACCGAATCAGCAAATCATCTTCTGACCTTTGGTGTTGGTGTTTTTGTATTGTCTAGTTTAAAAGTCAGCTACATCTCCGATTGGTTAAGTTGACCACTTGCAACTGTGAGCCACAAGCAAGAATTTAAAAGCCAAGGGGGCGGACGGTTGGAATCCCCTTCGCCCAGATTTGCCTGCCGTTCACCGTGGAGCATATTTGCAATAGATTAAAGCCAATAACAACAATAATAATAGTACTACTCGGTGCTGATGCCAATCAACATTCATATACAGTGGCTCACACAATATCGAAAATGGATATGTAAATACTTCCTGGCACGTAAAATAGAACAAAATAATCGAAGTTGGGACTGAACTGATGATGATGAGTACCAGCAATGCACACTGGGGCAATGCTCTTGCTGGGTTAAAGACAACCAACTGTACATAGTGGGAAAACCCCGAACTAGGGCGCATGCATGAACAATGCTCTAACAAAATTAAACAAAGTATTGTCACAATATTAAACAATATGTAGTGTTCAGTATATCTAACGGAACTTCCAACGAGAAACGGAACTTCTAACGAGAATCCCATTTTGTTTCCGCCAGTGTTCATTCATAGGTCATTTTCAATAATTTTTTATACCCTACACCACAAAGTGGTCAGGGTATTATGTCTTTGTGCATTTGTTTGTAACAGGCAGAAGGAAACGAGATAAACCCATAGTTCCTTTTGATGATCTGCATAGAATCACATTCTGAGTCGATTTATGCATGTCCGTCCGTCCGTCTGTCCGTCTGTCCATGTATTTTTGTAAACAAAGTACAGGTCGCATTTATTGCCCGATCCAGATGAAATTTTGCAAAGATCTTTTGTTTGGCCCAAGGACGAACCCTATTGAAATTGGAGATAATCGGTAAAAATTTAGATATAGCTCCCATATATATCTTCGTCCGATTTACCTTTTATTGTGCACCAAACGTGTAATATCAGCCTGAATTGTATGGAATTTTGCATATACACCCAAATTGGGCCTGAAAATATGTATGCCAAATTTGATCGAAATCGGTTCAGATATAGCTATAGCTCCCATATATATTGTTCATCCGATTTGTTATTTTTGTCCTCCGCAGCCGTAATATGCACTCTGTAACAACAATATTTGGGGAAATATATCAAATACAGCTCAGAAATACATTTGCTAAATTTTATGGAGATCGGTTCAGATTTGGATATATCTCCCATATATAATTTCGTCCGACTTACCTTGGATTGTGCACCAAACGTCTAATATTTGCCCAAATTGTATGAAATTTGGCACTTACGACCGAATTGAGTCTAGAAGCTAGTATGTCAAATTTGGTTTGGATCGGTTCAGATATAGCTCTAGCTTCCACATATATTATTCATCCGATTTGTTATATTTGTTACCCACAACGGTAATATGCACTCCGTAACAACGATATTCAGGGAAATATATCAAATACAGCTCTGAAATATCTTTGACAAATTTTATCGAGATCGGTTCAGATTTGGATAAAGCTCCCATATATATCTTTATCCGATTTCAAATTAATTGTGCACCAAATGGGCAATACAATTCCGAATTTAAAAGATACAAATGTTTCGGCAGATTTAGTCCTTTGAACTTTAAATTATAATTATAATCGTAGCTTGTATGATTGAATTCTCCCATAAAAATTTTCATTGTTATGTGGAGCTCTACTTAATTAGCAAAATGGTGTAGGGTATCATAAAGTCGGCCCCGCCCGACTTTAAGACTTTCTTTACTGGTTTTTTTTTTTGGTTTCAACGTTCCCATTGACGCATACAATTATCCATTTTAATGCAGATATTTCAAAGAAGTAACTATGTACAGAACTGAAATAAAAGTGTTATAATTCGTAAACTATGTCGAATCTCCCGAGCGCTCAAAACCTTAATTGTGATCGTAGTATTGTTGTAATAAAATGTTTTCAAAGACCCTTTTTATTTGGCACAGCAAACCAACATACAATAGTGTACACATCATCACTTTACATTAATTTCCGTACCTTTGTAGTACGAAGTTCCGAAAATCCTACCAAATCCTACCACTTACGACAACATATTTAAAACCAAAACCTGAGCAGGGTTACCGTTGCATAGTGGTCGAGGTCGTATGGGCACAGCGGCCAAAAATACTTTCAGTGCAGATATCAATATGAATCTTTGGTTATGGTACATTGATGGGATAAAAATAAAAAAAATTGACAAAACGGATATGGTCGATGCATGTTTTGGCATGGTCCCTTTACAAAGTTCCTCACGAATAAAGGTAATTTGCCCAATTTCTGTCACATTTATACACTAGATTGTTCTGTTATTTGGCATTTTACGTTCTAAAGAGCTAAAAAATAGTCTTACTGAAAATTATTTGGAACGGCCCGCCTTCAGGTAGAGTCCCCTGTAAAGGTACCTTTAGACATAGAAGTATTTTTTATACAAAGTTTATTTCAAATTTCAAAATTATTATTTGTAAACAAAATAGATAATTTTTTTGTTATCAAATTAAACAATTTAATATAAAATTAAATCAAAGTTACTAATGGATATTTATAAATTTTAGTGTTATATAAGTAAATCAAATGCAGATTTTATTAATATAGATTTTTTATTGAAGAAGAAGACGGTTAATAAGATGTTGAAACACGAGAATTTTTTCGGGTATGATTTAGTCGAAACTTTTTTATATCTTTATCCACGGCTTCCCCCTATAATTCTCCAATCGATACAATGACAAATTTATAACGTCGGGTGCATGTATTAAAATTTTATGAGCTGCGGGTGGAAGATAGTGCCTTGGATATCTATTTGTTAACTCTTTAGCCGTTTCCAGTGCAAAGCCCTAAATTTTTCGACATTAATAGTATACCCAGAAGATAATGCAGGCAACATTATTGAACACCCCTCAATTATATCCTTATCAATCCCAAACAACAAAAACATATACTATGTCACTAGCACCATCGAACTGACAAAATTGGAGCGAGGGCATAACATACAAATCTGAAAGTTAAATAAGCACTAGGACCCTTACTAATGGCGTGAAGAAATTATATTGGAGGACTAAGGGGGGGGGGGGGGGAAACAATTAAAACTTTAACTGAAATCCAATTTTATTTTCAAAATTAATCTTTAAAGGCAACTCAGAACACTCACATCGTCTATATTGTACACAACTACTAAACACACAAATTACCGCACTAAAAATAAGTCAATACCTTGCTTTTCAATAATTATGCCAAGAATTGTCATTTTAAAATGTATTTAATTTTGTAAAACAGATCTATTTTTACTCCACTTTTTCACTGGTCCCACTGAAAAAGCAACTAACCATATTTTCTCTTTTTTGATGCTATTGTCGAAGTGGGCCGTTAGAACGAAGCCAAAATTATTATGTTTCCTAAAAAGCTTAACCTCTTAAGAGTTCATGTGTACACATTTGACAATAAATATCTGATTTTCATTTTTTGAATTTTGGCCAATGGCAGCGACCTCTGTGCGTTGGGCGGGCGACAAAAGTTGCAGTTTGCGACCTTTTTGAGATCCAGTATCTTTATGTGCAACACTTTAAACAATTTCCAATTTTGCAATTTTTACCAAATTTCAAAATAATCTCATTCGGGCTCAACTTGGAGAAAGAATGTTTTCTAAATTAGAACTAACGAAGGGATAAATAAACTAATTGGTTGAAAGAAAATATTTGTGGGTCCATATTAGCAGCTCTAAAATGCGAATATTTTTTGTCACACTTTTCAAACATTTCTGGCAGTAACACTTAACCGGGGTTATCAATCTGTATTTTATTCGCGCTAAATCGGTGCTTTTCCCATTGTGCAGCGGCAGTTTGGAATAGTCCTATTTTACAAAGTAAGCGATGCCAAGGTTCGGATAATTGACATACATCATGGCAATGTAATTTTTCGAAATGGTCGGATCGATGTTTGATAAAAACACTTTCAACTCGTCGTTGCTTTGAGCTACTGTCTCTCTATGTAAAACGATTGAGTAATGGCGTGCACTTTTGTTAAAGCCAAAGCAATAACTTGGCTATAATAATATTGCAGACTGTTGCAAAGATATTCTAAGTATTGCGCTCTATTCTCATGATGCGCACACTCCCCCGACATGTTGCGACACTCGTCATTTTCGAATGTCCGGAGCCCGTTGACTCAGAGAAACTTACCCGACAGTCATTTGGCAACTGCCCTGCTATGGGTCACTAGGACTGCAGGAGAAAAAATAGTTCGTATTCCAGAAGATTTTAAGCAGTTCGAAGGTTTTGAATGTTTGATAACTATCCCGAGTGAATGATTTCACAATACATGGTTCAGGCGGACACTGGCACTTTCAACGCTTGTTTGCTGGGGAACTTTACTTATTCACGATCGCACGGGGACCAATGCTGTTTCCGAGAGTCAGTTTGTGTTTTGTATATATTTAAATTGCTTTTGTTGGTATGTCTTTTTCTGTAATTGCTTTAGCCGGAGATTTAACGAGCCGTGACGACGTGAACTGTCATTGAAGCTGGCAAAATCACAACTGAACTTTTTGGGGACCCAATCAACCCAAAAAGCATAGCTTGTTGGCGCGACTGTAAGTTGGCAAGCGATACACCATTCTGGCGCTTAAGCTTAGATTACGCTCGCGCTCGCTGCATGCTATTTTGTTTTTCATTCGTGTAAATGTCTTTTATTTGGCTGAGCGAATAGTAAGCTTAGTAAGCTCTGCAATGCCATTTCAAGTCAACTCCGACTCAGACTAAGAGTGCGGCAACTGAGGCACTAAGCCAAATGAAGGATGTAAATAGCTTTTCATCGTTTTCAATAACGAGGGACGTGTTATTTAAATGATATGCTTGTTAGAAATATTTTTGCAAATATATATTATACATAATGTTTATGTAGGAACATGGTGTGGGATATTGATTGTGTAGAATATATACATACTTGCGTTGATGGAAACTTCGTATCGACCTTCCTATAACAACTCTCAACGGTTCAGTTGGTTTCTCGAATAGTTTCGCTTTCATGTCTAGCGGGTGGGTGAACCGATCCAACAAAACATTGATCTTTACCCTGCTCTCTTTGTCGTGCTAGTATTTCAACAACCGGAATGTCGGTTGTGCTGACTTTCTTGATCCACAGCTAGAAACGAGCAAAATACGTTTGTGTCGCCCTGATCATTCATCGACAATGCAAACGGATCGATTTTCGCGGCGTTGCTTTTGAACATCTACATTCAGTCACCGGCGGTATTAATGGTCATTTTCGGGAGAGTGGAAGTTTGTATCAAGAAAAATAAAAACAAAACATTTTCAAAATCAACGATTGAAAATTGCGGGGCGCGTAATAATAACATTAACCAGATTTTCCATGGAATTGAAAGATTGAACACTTAGAATCATATTTTTGACAGAACCTCCAGACATTTCATTCATCTTTTGCGCTATTTGACTCATTTTTGAAATGAACAAAAAATACCAAATAAATGAAAACAACTTGTTGCCTATAATTTTGAAAAATTCTGACAGGAAGCGGGCATAGCCTCAGGGCCGTATTTCTGTAGTTTTACGAAGCTGTTCTACCTCCTTATTGTACCATGGTTAAATCTGTTGTTTTAGTATCGCTGGTGTGGTCTTGAATATGTTTATTTTCCAAATCAATCTCTTCTTGTTGGGAATATCTTGGGTTCAGTGGGGGAGCGATTCCGAAAGATAAAGGATAATATTGTACATATACGTACCTTGTCTAAGGCTGTGCGAAGCATGTATGAGATAAAGGTTCATGTCAGTTTTGCAACAACTGATCAATTTCAATTTGTTTCCTTATAGACGAGAAACTTGTGGGATTAAAGGAATAGCTTAATAACTTAAACATTTTACAATACATTAAGAAAATCGGGTTATTAATTTTGGACTTAGAGAAGAGTAATTTTTATGATTGACCACCATGTTTATTCCATGTACTTCACTGTCGAAAGTGTTTTTGTATGGAATACAAATATGGAATAAATCGATACAAGTCAGCTCCCAGAAATTCGACGTAGAAACTTTAAACCGCGTTTTCCCAAAGGAGGTAAATGATGCTGCATGGAGTGCTCAAGCATGTCAGCATATCGTATCGTCGATAATCGGAGGTATATATCTGTGTTTATCCAAAACGTGTACTCCTTTCTTCTGCTATTTTCCCCACAAGAATATCTTGTTTGGAAAAATCATGAATGTTGGCAAAAGGAGAAAAAGCTCTCCCGTTCGATTGTTAAACTTGGACTTGTCAATAATTATGATTTTAATGATAAGATTTTTTAGAAGTTATTTTGTAAGAACATTTTTGTCATTTTTAGCGACAGAATTAACGATAACAGAAGTTGGGGCAGCAATCAGATAGCTCCAGGCCGAAAAAATACTGATGTGAATATCAACATGGAATCGAAGCCATAATGCCCAACATCGACCTTGGCCTAAGTATTAGGTTTTGTCATATTGAAAATCATAATCCATAATCGAAGAGCCAATCCACTTACGGGCATCATGTAAAGTGCGCCGAAATATTTCCCACATTTTACAGCCCGAAGAATAGCTGGTATTTCCATTAGGTGCTATGGTCTAAACACGTTTTGGACCTTTGACTTTTATTCCATATATGAGAGTGTGGGAATAAAAGTCCGACTAACTCTGTCGTAAATCAGTCATTCAGTTTCTCGAAACCATTCGTTGACAAGCCTTAAATATGTCCGATCTATCAAGGGGGTGGTTCTTGCAATCAAAGTTTGTGACAATACTGATGAACCTTGCCTATTGAGGCTAACATCCGAACATAGCAGTTCATTAATCATGTGTTTCAAACTAGAATGACAAGTCGTAATCCGTAGGGTAAACAGTGCAGCCCAGGCCTTCATTGTGTGCTCAAAAGGTAAATGCAGGGTAGAAAATTTTCTATATCCGTCCAGAATATGTCACATGTTTTGTACCATCAAAAACAAATGGGAACTCAGATTCAAAATTCTGTTGGAATATTTTGTCCCCGATTATAACCAACATATCGTCATCTCACTTTGCCTGCAAACTGGATAGTATAAAACTTATGGCATCGGCCTTATGTTTCTTCGTTTGACAAAGAGTGTTGATAATTCGTCTGCATTGGTTTGTACATTATTCCGGTCAATCTAGAAAATAAAATATCATTCAAGTGAAATAGTTTGTTTCGTTTTGTACGGGCTGAGAGTGCCTCTGGAAGCGTTGATGTTGCCTGCCAAAAGGAACATGATTGATAATAGATTTTTTTTTTTTAATTCAACTTGAGCCCGAAAACATCGGTTTCATCCATCATCAATCATGATGGAGTGTAATTCTGATTCTATTCCAAAACTATGAATAATTGGCGGCAGTCAGAGTTTTAAAATATATGTCGGAAACCTGCGTGGAAACTGTCGGCATCATACATGCTCCATGGTAACCATCCCAGAAAAAAGTTAGATGCCAATGATTGCAATAATTCATCGGTCTCATCCATATTTCAATTCCAAGGATGCTGAGTGCACAGAGCCGGCATTCAGACCTACTCCAAATAGTATAATGCCAAGCTATTACATATTCTCCGAATCGCTTTTGATTGTTTAGTTAAGTCACCGATCGTTTAATGCTGAAGTTCGTAGCTGTATTTATTTTTATGCTTCGAGGGTGTTTTCAATGGAACTCAATCAGTCGTCCAGTTGCCGTTGGTTTTTGTTGCCAATCCACCAATCTAGTTCGGCAGTTTCTTATTTTCTCCTATTTCATGTATCACTTGTGTTTTTTTCTTCACCTTTTGTTAATAACATCGTAACGTCTCAATCGATATCTCATCACCAATGAAATAGCTCGAGTCTTTAGTACAAATAGTCAACATTTCTAAAAGCCAAATACCAAATTTGACATATTTACGTGGGTAAATGTGACTAGGACTCAAAAATACCGAATATTGGTCTACATATCAAACACCGAGCCGTTGTATTAGAAATCCGTCGACAATGTGGATAAAACCATCAAAATACCGAATATCGGGAGGTTCCCTTATACAGGGGCATTACGAAAACGTGGGCCTATATATACAATGTTCCGCCACCGGAACTAGAATCCATAACAAACTACAAATACCAATTTTAAGACAAATGCGAGGGAAAAAGTGATTAAAACCATCACCATTATATGGGGGCTATACTAAAATGAGACCTATATAACCAATGTTCTGTCACAGAAGCTGAAGCCCATTACAAACAACAACTACCATTTATAAGACAAACCTGTGCGAAAATGTGGTAAAATTAATAAAATTGAAAAACTTCCCTTCACAACGGAAAAACTTTTTGTACTAACATAGCGTATATCATTCAGCCGGTTAATTCTTAATTTTAGTGTGGAGTCGATGGTTTGTGAGATGAAAATAGTCATTTGCTCTCAAGTTGTAGTCATGTGGAGTAGCACAAGGTCTGCCCAGGAGACCATAGGTTTTGCTCACCCTTTCGTATCCATACCAGTTTTACGAACCTCGTGATGGGCACTGTGATCAGTGAGCCGCAACTCTGACGCACTCATCTGACCCGGTTGAATGCTTTTCACGACAAATTTTGATTTACAGCGCTAGTTCATTTATCTTGTTTTTATTGTTTTTGTTTCGTTAAACGAAAACATCGACCCAAAATGACAGGACAACAAAAGCATTTTTCATGTTGCAATACATCAACATTGTGACAGTTTACAAGAGGCTCTTGTTGGGATGAAGCGCACGCGCCGTTGTATCCTCATAAACAACCCCATTCGGCAGAAAATAGCATCGGGTGAAACGCACGTTGTTCAATTAAAAGCGGAGCGCGAGCGTTTGAAAGGCACCCCTTCTTCGTTCCCTTAACCACATTCGCACACACGTGCGTCAGTCGTCCGCATGCGCAGCACTTTTTGTCTAATATTCATACACATGTTCTTTTCGTGTTGTCCTCTTGACGAGCCGTTGCCGGCCTCTGCAAATTAAAATAAATAACGGATATCTGACATTTCTGACACGAGTTCATCAATCTTCTGGCAACTCGCCTCTGATTTCACCATCCAGCCGCGGCGAGTCATCATTGCAACGCAGCCTGATGCAAACCTTTTATTTCAAATTCATTTGCAATTTGTCATGCTCTTCGTGTAAAGTTTGTGCAGTAGTATTTTCAAAATTTCGTCACGGACTTTATCATTTTCCGCATCCCAACAACAATTAATCCGAAAAAAATCATAAATGAATGGAGCGCGTTGCTGGAGGAAATCCGTGCATATTTCAAGAACTGATGTAGTTAAAATGGCGCCCTCTTGGAATTTACAGACGTAATCTCTCTACTATAACCAATTCAAATCGCTTCCTTCTTCTCCCAGTAATATTAAATGGATTTTGAAAATAACTTTCCAATTACCAAATGCCATTGCAGTACTTTCTCCACGCAAGGAAAAGTGAACGCTCAAAGTCGACGGGTATTATATAATTTACCCATGAAGTAGGCGAATTTAATATCCAGTCACGCGTCAACTAATTAGAAGTTGGCAAAT